AGCAGTCCTGGCATGTCAGGGTCGTCTTGAGATCTTCTTGATATCATATCTCGGTCATGCTTGGATCGCGCAGCCGTCGCGTGTTCATTCTGAGGCCGCCCTGGGCGCGCGTGGATCCATCTTGTTGCCATCGGGCCATCTCGGCGTCACTCGTGGTTCGTGTGCTCTGTCACCTTCGAGTCGGCCTGAGACGGTCCAGAATCCATGGCGGGATCGTGTTGGGGTGGCGTCATCTCAGGGTCGTCTGGACGTTACAGCCTGTGGTCTCAGGCCCTCTTGGAAGCATGTTGTGGGACGTCTTGGGATCTCGCGCGCGCGAGCGCTGAGCACGCGCGCGCGGCAATTCATTTCGCCGATGGGTGTGCGCACACATATGCCTAGGTGCGAGTTTCCAACGCAACTCCTGCTGGAGCCAAATAGGGAGCTTCATCGGCGGCCCCAGTGGGGGTGTCCGCATGCGTCCGCCACACCGAGTACAGCGCTTCGTGGCCACATTGGGAGCTCCACCGAAGGCCCCATTGGGGGTGCCCGCATGCGTCCGCCACCAAGTGCAGCGCTTCGTGGCCCCAGAAGGAGGCTCCACCGAACGCCCCGAGGGTGCGCTTTAACCGTACATAACTTCCCATAAAACACTACACTAAAACACTACACTAATACACTACACTACTACACTGCACTATAGCACTACCCTAATACACTACACTAATGCACTACACTAAAACACTACACTAAAACACTACACTAATACACTACGCAAATACACTACACTAATACCGATTCTTGCCGCTTCGCTTGAGACGTCCTCCCAACATCGAGCCCCGTCGTGCAAAACACACATAACACACAGAACTCTCTCTCTCTCTCTCACACAACACACATAACAAACACAAGACTTACAACACGCAGAACGCACACAACGCACACGGAACACGCACACACACACACACACACGCAAACCACACCACATCACACCCATTACGCCCAACACACGCAACACGACGCACACACACACAACACATCTAACACACAATACCCACCTACCGCACGTACCGGACAACACACTAGAACCCGCACAAGTATAGTGTAGTGTATTAGTTTTGGTGGACGTGTATTAGTGTAGTGTATTAGTGTAGTGTATTAGTGTAATGTATTAGTATAGTGTATTAGTACAGTGTATTAGTACAGTGTATTAGTGTAGTGTATTAGTGTAGTGTATTAGTGTAGTGTATGCTTTAACCATACATAACTTTCCATAAAATACTACACTAAAACACTACACTAATACGCTACACTACTACACTGCACTATAACACTACACTAATACACTACACTAAACACGACACTAAAACACTACACTAAAACACTACACTAATACACTACACTAACACATACGCCAAAACACTACACTAATACACGATGCTAGTACACTATGCTCATACGCTGCATTAAACACTACGCAAATACACTACGCGAATACACTACGCCAATACACCACGCTGATACCCGACCCCGTCACACTGCACCGGCAGATTACGCGAATACGCGAATACGCTGTGCTGTGCGCGAATTAGGACTTTCGTAGGTCTGGCGGAGCTCCCGCGGCCTAGCTCGGCCCCACGAGGCGGAGGGGCACGGCGCCGACGCCCGCCCGAGGAGCGGGGGGCTGCCCCGCGGCCGGCCGAGGGCGGCGAGTCGGAGTACACTCCCCAGCAAAAGCAATGCAGCTTTCGTCGCCGATTTGTTTTTGGTTGCCCTCGGCTTCTCGTCGCGTTCGGCCCCCGCGTGCCCGAACCCGCCCGCTCACGCGCGGCGGCGCTGCCGCCGGGAGCCGTCCTTTTCCTCTTCCCCCTAGCCCCGCTCCCAAGATACCCAAGATGCCCAAGGCACCCAAGGTCCCCGAGATCCCCCAGATACCCAAGATACCCAAGGCACCCAAGATCCACAAGATTCCCAATATCCCTAAGATCCACAAGATACCCAAGATACCCTAGATACCCCAGGTACCTCGGATCCCCAAGGTCCCCAATATACTCCAAACCCAAAAGAGACCCTAGATTGCCGAGACCCCCAAGAACCCGAAGAAATTAATATCCCCAAGATCCCCAAGATCCCCGAGAAGCCCAAGATACCCAAGGCACCCAAGATCCCCAAGATTCCCAAGATCCCTAAGACCCCCAATATACCCAAGAGACCCAAGGTACCCAATATCACCTTCCTCCGACAAACGCGGGGGGCGATCTGGACTCAGTAGTATAGTGTATTACTGTAGTATAATGCACTACGGTAGTACGTTGTATTACTGTAGTGTAGTGTACTCGTATACTGTTTTAGTGAAGTGTTTTAGTATGGTGTAGTAGCATCGTGTTTTAGTGCAATGTCTGAGTATAGTGGTATAGTATTACTGTAGTGTCGTAGTATAGTGTATTAGTATATTGTTTAATGTAGTGATTTAATATAGTGTTTTAACATAGTGTTTTAATATGGCGTTTTAGTATAGTGTTTTAGTATCGTGGTTTATGTATGAATTCTTTATGTATGGTTAACCTCTTTCTATGTATGGTGAAGGTTACCCGTTGAACGCCCCGGTGGGGGTGCCCGCATGCGTCCGCCACACCCAGTACAGCGCTCCGTGGCCCCATAGGGAGCTCCACCGAAGGCCCCAATGGGAGAGCCCGCATGCGTCCGCCACACCCAGTACAGCGCTTCGTGGCCACATTGGGAGCTCCACCGAAGGCCCCAGTGGGGGTGCCCGCCCGCATGCCTCCGCCACACCCAGTACCGCGCTCCGTGGTCCCGTATGGAGCTTCACTGAAAGCCCAAATGGGGGTGCCCGCATGCGTCCGCCACACCCAATACAGCGCTTCGTGGTCCCATAGGGAGCTCCACCAAAGACCCCAGTGGGGGCGCCCGCATGCGTCCGCCACACCCAGTACAGCGGTTGGTGGCCCCATAGGGAGCTCCACCTAAGGTCCCAGTGGCGCAGTCCGCATGCGTCTCCCACACCCAGTATAACGTTTCGTGGCCCCATAGGGAGCTCCACCTAAGGTCCCAGTGGCGCAGCTCGCATGCTCGCATCATCACCACCATCATTATCATCGTCATCACTATCATCATCATCATCATCATCATCATCATCATCATCATCATCATCATCATCATCATCATCCTCATCCTCATCCTCATCCTCATCCTCATCCTCATCCTCATCCTCATCCTCATCCTCATCACAGCATCAGCATCAGCATCAGCATCAGCATCAGCATCAGCATCAGCATCATCATCAGCATCATCATCATCAGCATCATCAGCATCAGCATCAGCATCAGCATCAGCATCAGCATCATCATCACCATCACCATCACCATCACATCACCATCACCATCACCATCACCATCACCATCACCATCATCAGCAGCAGCAGCAGCAGCATCAGCATCAGCATCAGCATCAGCATCAGCATCATCATCATCATCATCATCATCATCATCATCATCATCATCATCATCATCATCATCACATCATCGTCAACACCCGTTTCAGCACACCCCTCACACCTTCGTGGCCCCATAGGGAGCTCCAATGAAGGCCCCAGTGGGGGTGCCCGCATGCGTCCGCCACACCCAGTACAGCGCTCCGTGGTCCCATAGGGAGCTCCACCGAGGGTCTCACTTACGCAGCCCGCATGCGCCTCCCCCACCAGGTACAGCGCTTCGTGGCCCCATAGGAAGCTCCACCGAAGGTCCCAGTGGCGCAGCCCGCATGCGTCTCCCCCACCCAGTACAGCGTTTCGTGGCCCCATAGGGAGCTCCACCGAAGGTTCCAGTGGCGCAGTCCGCATGCGCCTCCCCCACCCAGTACAGCGTTTCGTGGCCATACAAGGGGGCTCCACCGAAGACGATACCTACAACTGCGGTGTTCACAACTGCATCTGGTTGGGTCGCTCGCCAGACTAATTTCTTCAAAAATGAATGTTGTCGGGGTACTCGCCACCCGATTCCTTCTCCCCCGCCTCCTCGTCAGTTCTGGTCACCCTCGCCCTCCCTGTCCGCATCCTTCTCGTCATCCATCTCCTTCTCGCCCTCACCATCCCCTTCCTCCGCCGCCATTCTCTCCCTCTGCCCCTCACCACACTATCATTAGGTCGGGCATGTCCCCCTACAGGGGAATTTTGGACGACAAGTTAAAAATACCCCCAAAATACACCAACAACATCAAAAATGGTAAAAAAATAGTCCCCCGACCATGTTTTAAACTATTTTTGAACACTCCTCCTGTAGAGGAACAGGCCCGACTTAACACTATCGTGTTCGGCAATCGATGCCTGCAGGGGCTCCGGCAGGGCCCCCCCGAGGGTGCGAAGACTGCCCAGATCTGGCCCCGAAGCGGGCATCCAGAGGGGCCCAAGGCAACCCACGATTGCGCCGAAACAACCCAAGAGGCCCCCAAGTCTGCCACAATAAGCCCACCAGCACGGCCGGTGGGGTCCCAAGACAGCCCAAGAGGTCTCCAAGACAACCACAGACGCCCCAAGAAGGCGTCTTAAAAAGGACCCTCGGGCGTCCATAACAAATCACATAAAAGTGTCTGCTTGTTCGGTCCCCCCAAGGAAGCCCAGCGGGCCCGAAGACGGCCCCATGATGGCCCCAGCAGGGTCATACGAAACCGCAGCAGGGCCTCCGAGACGGCCCAGGATGGCCTCCAAGGCAGCATCGAGAGCGCCCCATGGGAGCCCGAATGAGAAAAAGGAAGAGGTGGAGGAGAAAGGGGAGGAGAAGGGATGACAGAAGGAGAGGGCTGAGCTGGATACGGCTAAGAAGGACGACGAGGAAGAACAGGAAGAGGAAGAGAAAGAATACAGAGGGAGGGGGGTGGGGCCGTGAGGGGGGAAGGAAGATGATAAGGAGTGGACGGAGTCGCCTTTCTGGACGAGCACCCCGCGAAGCGAGAGGAATATCGACTGTCCACCCGCCCTTGATGCCCCACCATTTATTTTCTTCGAC